TGTCACTACAAACTGAACCAAACGTGTCGTCAAGCAGTTGTTATTGATTTGTACATTATGGTTATTTTTTCATATCTAATAAATGTTTAAATCCATATATTAGCCATCATATAACTTACATAGAGCGCTAGAAAAAACTAATTTAACGGTGATGTGTGAGTTCACTCGCTCTGTAAGTAAACAATAGTATAACACAGTAGCAGTACTTACTGTTAGTTGTTTTCGTTTCAACTACAAACAGACGATTAAAACTCACTTCTTACCTTAATCTTACAACATTGTGGCAGGTACGCAAAGTACTAAAATAAAGACATTAAAATTTATTAAAGTAGATAAATTAACATATTAAACGATAAAAAAATGATATCTTACGGTAAGACATGATGATATCCAAATATTATCGAATCAATAATCGATTTACAAGAAAAAACATATACCTGAATTGAGAATATCCTTCTTTTACCCAAGTCTGTCTTTTATTCGATATAGCTTCGGTTACGATTGATCTTTTTGTCTATCTACCTGTTACTCAATTTGAGATAAGGGAAAAACTGTGAACTTAATTTTAAAAATGATAGTGCTGTGTATGAGTAAAATAAGATATATATATACCCGAATACTCCATCGGGTGTCGGTGCCACTTCTCTTTGGACTGTCGATAACTTAGGTTTTCTGTCCCCTCATTTCCGATTCTTCAGACAAAATCTAAGCATAGCTCTTTAGATTTGTTCGCTGAATAATTTGAAACTGTAAGACATTTATAGATATATATATATATAAATAAGTAAATCGGTGTAATAGACAAACAATATCGAATCTAGGATGCAATCTGAAGAGGTCATATTGTCATCATTTATTATATACATCAAAACTACAAAAGCATAAAATGAAAATTTACGTTTCTTATAACGCTGTTTACGTAAATATTTCGTAATCAATAATCTATACTAATAATATAATATATATATAAGCTAAAGAGCTTGTTTGTTTGAACATGTTAATCTTTGCATCAACTGGTCCAGTTTGAAATTTTTTTCGCTTTTTATAGCCTATTGTGAACTCGACCTATGAATCGCAAGAAAACGCTCGTCCGAAATATTATTTAAATTTAATACTAAGTAGTTGCCCTGACTGTTAGAATTGAGAATTGTTAATAGTTGTTGAGAGTATTCGCACAGTTTCGTGATCAGTCACCTAATGACAGTATAATAATATAGAATTTAACAAAAACAATGGCTTGAAGCCATTTGGATTTTGGTCATTAGAGAAGAATATAATCTCCAAAATGATCTCAAATATACTACAAGTCATACTACTAAATATTTATTATAAATTAAAAACATACCTAAAATGTTCTTTTAGATATATATATGTATATGTATATATGTATATATATATACATATATATATGTCTAATATATATATATATATATATATATATATATATATATATATATATGTCTAATATATATATATATTGGAGAGTGACATAGGCTACTTTTTACCGTGTGAGATTATCTAATTGACGTGTGAGTGACGCAGTGGAAAGTCCAGCAGCACTAAATACTGGTTTGAATTTATCACGAATTCGATTCACGCGCGATAAAATATCTATCACTATAAATAAAAATGAATCACCGAAATGTACATATGTATGCATAACTTCCGATCGACTGCACCAAATTGGATAATTTTTTTTTTTGTGTTTGTTATTGTCAAGCTTTGTATAAAAGAAAAATTTTTATTTTACTATAATAAGTTTTTTTTAATTCTCATGATATGAAAGTGAGTGAGTGAAATAGTTTTTATCCCGGAAATTATCCCTTAAAGGTGAGAATGGGGATGAAAGTTTGTATGGGGAAGCAAGCTAGTATTATATATTTGTACTAATTACTACATGCTTATCTCTACTACTAGTTTTTAATTTTTTTTTTTTGCATTAGCATATCTGTTGAGGAAGGCCATACTGTATGTAAATATAAATACGCGAGTGGAGCTACGGAAGAAAAATTAGAGACAGTTTTTCTTATATAGATAGGTAAATTCTATTCTTATATGTTTTCCTCAAATTTTTAATAATCTTTACGGTCTAATTTCGGCCATTAGAAGAAGACCTGTATTCGTAAAAATATGTAAGCTAAGCAGAACAAAAGGACCCCCCATCATATGTAAAAACGTAAATGGACTAATGAGACGTGAGAACGATTCTCAGTGTATCATATTCTTCTTGTTAACAGGGAAATTGAATGTAAGGTCATGACGTTGGTTTTTTCTGCGGCTCAAAATAAAACGGATACATAGTTCCTCTAGGAAGCATTCAAGTGAAATATAAGAGTGAAGGGAGTTTTTGTTGATTATTATACCAAATTGGATAATACTCTTATTGTATATAGTTCTTAAAAGTGCATAGATTGAGTTTCTCTAGCCTTTTTGCACTATAAGTTAGTGCTGACTCAGTCAACTATTTTACTGAATCATACTAACACAGTATCTGTACAGTCGTCTAACAAAGGTGTCTAGACATAGCAATCATGTGGCGTGCAAGGTGAGATGGGAGTTTTTTTTATTTGAGTAAGTCTAAGACCCACGGACATACATACGTCCGTGCCTTTTTTTGAGAATTTTTATATTTTATTGTTATTTTTATTTTATTTTATTTGAGATGGATTCCCGACTGTCATAAGTCATAATCAAAAAGGGCTGTAGGGTAGAAGGGTAGCTGTAACTTGTCACTAGATAGCAGTACAATGCAACAAAAATTCAATTACCACTCGTTACCACTATCTAAATCGTTAGCCATATAAAATTGTATTTTTTTACAACCCTGCACGTACTTGGTAGCTAATAAATCATTAGGATTAACGATAACAATTGATTGATATTTAGATATAGATTTGCCCACTGAATAGATTTTTATATTTTGCATATATGACAAATATAATCGCAAAAAATTATGAAAGTTAAATTATTAAAGTTTAATTTGTGTGTTTGTTATTTTTTCATGCTTTAACGACATTCTGGATTTTATGTCGAAAAATATCATTTGAGCGGCGATACGGACCAAAACTATCTTATAATAAAATTGTAACTAAACCGAATCTGTACAACATTATTATCGAAACAGAGGCCAAATCTATAGATTTTAGAATTTTTGTCTGTCAGTCTGTCTGATACCGCATCACAGAAAAACCACAGTAGGGATTTTGATGAATTTTGGTATGGTGATAGCTGGTTATCCGGGTCAACATATATGATACTTAATACTTTCTTAGATTTACGCGAATATTTGACATTTTAAATAAAACTATCTTTTCGGATTTTGTCGCGGATTTATTTGCATTAAATTTAATTTAAATTGCTGTAAAGCATTCGAAACGTCGGGAAACAAAAATGCAAATAAATCCGCGACGAAAACCCGAAAAGATAGTTTTATTTAAAATATATGATACTTTTACCGCGAGAAAATAGCTCATTTTTAAGAAAAAATACAAAAACTGCATTATAAGAGTATATTAATATGTAAAACTTGATTTTTGTAATCTGAACGCGGGTGGAGCCGCGGGCAATGCTAGTTTAGTCATAAAGGTAAAAAATGACGATTAAATGGTAGACCTCTTAAAGGGTTAAAAAGTATTGTATAGAATGAACAAAGTATCTATCGGTCTTTGATTTTATTCTTGCGCAGGGAAAGTATTTTAATTAGATTTATTAATTATCTTCTATCTTTAATACGTATTTACTCTAATCTAATTCAACCAACAATCTTTAAAGGAACTTATTTCATGTTCTGTAAAAAATGTTTCATATTTCGTTGTAAAAATAAAATAACGTAACCGGATACATGATAACGTCATACTTATTCCTTATATGATCAATAAATACTTACTCTATATCATAAAATTCCATTTAAATCATAACATAAATAAAAAATTTACAATCAAATAGCTATTTCTGATAATGTAATTAAGATATGAAAATATTCTGTTAATAATTTGCTACTGACGCATTTTTATGCGCAGAAAAGCAATTCACTAGAACAATAGTTCATTGACTGTGATTTAGAGACAAAATGTCATTGTTTTAAAACAAAGCTTTATCTAAATCTTGGTAATAGCAATTATCGTCACGATATGCATACGAGTATGTAGTAACTAACAAGTTATTCAGATTACATATGTGAGGTAATAACCTCGCCCTCGTGACAGGAAACCATGACCGCGACCATCTTCGTCAAATAACTAGTTATGTCCAATTGAGTGCCTCGTTGATTTAGTGGATACGGCTGCAGATTCGAGGATCTTGGATTTGAAATCCGAGCGGGACCAAGAATAGTTATTTGGTTTATCTTTCAGCACCTGTTGAGTTTCTCGCCGACTCATCTCAGCAGAACTGCTTTCAGGTTTTTTAACTTTCGTAAGGTTTGACTACACTGACGCTCTTTAATATAAATTGACGATTCAAAAGTGCTTATAATAAATGTAATTGAATAAAGTTTATTTCATTTCATTTCAAGAAATTATCAGTATCTGTATGGATTTAGGAAGTTGGCACATTCATGCCTCGAAGTATTCATGCCTCACCGGTATTATCAAATTTCTTATCACCTCTAGTGGTGACAGGAGGGCTGGCGCATTTTTCGCCCAAAGAATCGGCATTGCCATTCAACGGGGGAATGCGGCTAGCATTCTTGCCACTATTCCACGCGGACATGACTTGTACATTACTAACTAAATTTGTACATTTGTTTTGTATATATAATTAAGCATATATAATTGTCTTTATAGAGAATTTATATTGTAGGAATAGAGAATCCACGTCGTTTGTGGATTATAATAGCTTCATACGCTAATATCATAAATGTAAGAATACGTTTGTTCATCTTTTACTCAGCAACTGATACTATACTACTCCTTATATAAAGTAACTCCTACTAATAAGATACTAGAGAGTGCATATAATTACGAAAAAAATCTAACGATTTGTTTTTTTTTGTTCCAGGCATGGTTGGTGCACCCGATGTCGTTAAGCCGTCAGACAAAGTTGAAGACTACTCGCCACACGTCAACGGCAACCCAATTTTCACTATCAGCGGTAATTGAATATTTTTCTGATATACATACATACCAGTGGCGAAGGGTGAAATTTTAGCAGAGGTAAAGCGTTCCAAAAAAAACACAAAACAACATTGATATACAATTTTTGTATACGTATTAATGCAAAAAGAAATAAAGCTATCATTATATTATATATGTATATTTCCAAATGAACATTTATACATTTAAAAAATTAAATGTATGTTAAATTATAGCAAGATACATTTTAAGGTAAGACGTCTTATATGGACCCTTCACCACTGATACATACACATATAGGATAAATTAAATTAGAACTACGCTTCGCTTCGCTCCCTTAGCCTTCTCACCCACTATAATCTCAAACGAATTGCCTTAATTTCTTTAGCGAAGAAAATATTGCTTATTGCACTAGTATAAAAATAAAGATAAGGAGGAATAGGAAAATGTTATTTAATCATCACGGAACCTTTTCTCCTGAGAAAGAAAAAGTTTTTGCTATTACTATTATATTTCAAAAGGCAATAGGTGTTAAGCTATTGCTATTATGTTTTGGAAGGCGCAAGGTGATAATAATTTTTCTTCAAATTTTAAAAATTTACTGTATTCGGATTTTTCCTTTGTATGCACACGAAATTTCAACTTTCTAGGTCTTCTGTAAATGGGTTAAGTTTTAATACTATATGTCAGTCAGTCATTGATAAAAATGCCGATTTTTAGACGTTAATATCTCAATAACGGTTTGAGCTGTATTTATGAAATTGGGTATCCTAGTTAATCTAAGGGGATTTAATATATGGACCAAAAATGAGTTTATGTTAAATATATTTTGAGTTATAACAAGGTGAAAATTGGCTCCAATTGGTTCGTGTAATAAAATATACACACGGCGCTGCGCCGCCAGTTCCTTTGGCTTGAACTTGGCTGGACACGCTACCGCGTATCATGATTTATTTTTGTTGAACTATTTTGATATTTATAATGATAATGTGGTTCAGGGCGTTTATAGTAATAATGTAGAATTGTTGTGTGGCTTTAAATTTTTGTAAACCTACAAGTGCCCTTTCCTGTCCGGTCTTAAGTATTTGAATTCATACTTGTCCAGTACTAGGTGCCAAATGTCAATGAAACTAAAAACTAAACCAATGATTGAATCCATTTTGAGTGGTTAAAAAATCTATACAGATAAATAAAAGTGAAGTGTCTGTTTGTAATGTTAAAATAACAGTGTTTTACTGAATGCATATGAAATTATATACGGTACCTATAAGAAAAACTGTATGTCTGTTTGTTCCGGATAATCTCTGAAACGGCTGGACTGATTTTGACGGGACTTTCACTGGAAGATAACTGATGTTATACAGAGTAACATAGGCTACTTTTATTTTAGAAAAAGAATTAGAGTTCCATTCAAAAAAAGTAAATCGTACCTAGGGACAATCCCAAGCGAAGCGAGGGTGAGTCGCTAGTATATAATATAAATCTTTGTTATTTTATTTTAATATGTAATATGATTGCTTATATGAAAATATTAAGTATTTAAATAAAACATAATTATTCAATTTTTTATTTATTAAAAACCTTAAAGTGTCCGGTGTTGGGGGGACTCCTCCTATCTCTCGATATCAATCAAGCTAATTAATCTATTCTTACATAATAAATCTTTTATTAAAATATTTTATATATAATTAATTATAGGTAAATAATAAATAATTTGCTTAATCTAGATACCTAATATTGATAATAATTTCATTAAACAACATACACTAATAAAAATTAAATTACAAAAATATATGTCGGAGACATACCTATAATCTAAGTTGGTACATGCGTGTATTACTTGCAACAAATTATTATATATTTTGTTGCAAGTCTTGCTACATGCATGTTGTAGTACAATAAACTATGTATATCATAACTTTTGAGAAGTATAAAACTTGGTCTCCCCCGAGAAAGCTATAATGCATTTAAAACGTAGGAAACTAAAAATCAAATTAAGCCCACGAAAAAGATCCGAAAGAGTAGTTTTATTTAAAAGGTCGAATATTTCCGTAAATCTAAGATTTTCTTAGAATATCTTATTAGTTTCGATATCTCATTCAACATTTCAAATTGCCTAAAATCTGTCATTTTGGTTTTTTTTTAATTTTGATACAGGGTATATGCCACTCACGTTTTCGAGTTGAATCTAAGTATGTATAATTCAATTCAACCGTTTAGGAATTACGAGGAAAAATCTTAATAATAACAATGTTTCCGCCATTTTGGTATTGCAATGCTGAACATGTGCTTCCCTTTTCCTGGCTTATGTGAGAGATTTGGCCCTAGTCCACCACACGTCGAACGTTCGAAAGCTATGTTAGGTTCCCTCAGATGTGTATACGTCTGGTAGCTTACCTCACGAACTAAAATATATGAACATGAAAATTTCAAAGGTTTCGATCTTAAGTTACTTGTCAACCTTTTAATTTAATAAATGTAAAAATTGCTTATTGTTGTTAGCTCGAAACGTCTCAAGTCAATAATATAATAACACCATCTGAATAAATGATGGATATGAAAATGATTAGGGGTTGAAGTGAAGAAGGCACAAAAAAGAAATTTTTGGTTTCCGGCTCTCTCACCGAGAAATACGGTACGTCGTCATTCTGTAAAAAAGCAATACCTTCCCTGATATAGCTTTGCACTTCTATTTAAAAAAAAGGTTATTTTATTTATCTTATTTTATTCTTTACATTTTGTAATTATTACAAATAAATAATTGAATTGATAGTTCATTATCAAAAAACAATAAACACCCTACAAGTTATCACCAATCGTTCGTTTTTTATAGTCATAAGCCATAAAATAGCCAAAAGTTAAAAACGGAACTCTTGTAAATTCGTCATCTCCGTCTATTCGTATGTCACAGCCATTTTAATTGGAGATTAAAATACTCAAAACAAATTACGTTAAAAGCTGCCAAAATACTTTCAACGAAAATTATTTTGATCAAGATATGTTGAGCAGGTATCGGCTGCAAAATTAATGTTGTCAATATAATGAAGATTATAAATTGTTAAAAATATAACAGATTTAATTTTTCATACAATGGACCCTTGGTGTGCGAATTATACTTTGCTCGATTTTGTATTCATAACTTTCTTCATGTCATGTTTAGTTTCACAATTCATTTATACGAGTATTAAATACATATATATAATAAAATTGTAACTAAGCCGAATCTGTACATTAAATATTTTTTGGAAAATCTTATTGAAATAGACATTATTATCGATACAGAGGTCGAATCTATAGTTTTTAGAATTTTTGTCTGTCTGTCTGTTACCGCATCACGGAAAAGCCACTGGAGGGATTTTGATGAAATTTGGTATAGTGATAGCTGATCATTCGAGTCAATATATAGGATACTTTTTACCGCGGGAAAATATCTCATTTCTGAGAAAAAATACAAAAACTGCAATGTAAGAGTATTACTAGTATGTAAAACCTAAGAATTTGTTTTTTGGTCACCTGAACGCGGGCGAAGCTGCGGGCAATGCTAGTAAAATATAAATATAAAAAAATATATTCAATTAATATGATTTATATGTTATCACAATGTTTTATATCAATAAAAGATAAAAGTGAAATCACATCGATTTCGATTACATATGTTGTCATTATAATTTCATTTCTATCTCCATTTCTTTAAAGTTATAATGGTGTAGCAGACGATTGGATTATTACGCTACTAATATTTAAGTTTTTTTTTTGTATTCTGACGTATGACTTGGCGCATTACTCTTATCAATTTTATCCATATCAATAACGACGTTTATACAAAAACGAATTCAACATAATTTATAAAAAGAAATGATAAGACGAAAATAAATTTTTCTTCCCCATTTGTCACGAAGGCTTAATTTGGAAAAAAGTCAAAATTCGTGTTTTATTAATTTTATCTCTTACAAAAACATACATATTTTTTAAAATGGGAAACACCATCTGTACCTACAATTAGGGCGGTTATATGATGACTGGTGACTCACTAGCTGGAAAGACCATTACTTTACTTTAATCTACCCCGTCCTAATGGGGCGCCGCAGAATCACATAAGCAATGAACCTTTGGTTTACTCAGGCGTACCACAAAAACCAGGAGACTGCTCTCTCAGTCCACTTTGCTATTACAGAAGTACTAGGAGCAACCCTCATAGCATATCTGAGGCCTACAACAATAGATCTCTTGGTTTCACGCCTGGTTGGATTGCCAGACGGTACTAAGCCACCCACCACCACCACGATATTTACGTCAATTTGATTTCTGCTGAACCGATTTAGACGAAATTTGGTATGGAGATAGTTTGAGACCCCGGGAAAGATATAGCATAGTTTTTACTCCGGAAATCATCCCTTAAGGGGGTGATAAGAGGGGTGGAACTTATATATATATATAGGTATGATGAGTACATAGACTATAATATAGTTTATGTATTCTACACTAACCGTCATAAAGGTGAGTCGCTAGTATATGTCATAATTTAAAAATTTAAGATATAATAATATGATGTATTGATATACAGATAAGAGTAAGTTAAGATAGTGGAATCGGTTTATAATCAATTTTTTTTGCAAAATATGATTTATATGTCATTGTATTTGGGCGTAACAAGTTAGAATTTTTGTGTATGGGATAGTGCACGCACGCAATGTAACATGGCCACGGAACATAAAATTAGTAAGTGAATCAAATTTTTTCTTAAAAAAATGTTTTACATTTTTGTGGATTAGCATATAAGTGCTTTTCTATTTTTTCATATAGCTTTAAAGATTTTCCTTCGATTTAAATTATTATTGTATCATGGGATCCTAGCAGGAAGAAAGAAGAATTTAAAATGTTAAAAATTAAAATTTAATTAATTACAGTAAATTTCAATAGATGGCGTTATATGTAAACTTAAAATGCTATTAGTATTTTTTTTTTATTATTTTATATTCTACACATACCGTTTAATCCACTCCAGCTGTTCTCGAATTA